CTCCTAGTCTTCCCATGCTTATAAGACATCATGCAGTAACAGATGCCCTGGAAGGGAAATGGGAAGTGTTTTTTAAGAGAAACATTTCATGCAGCTTAATGTTGACATGAATGCAGTCTATAGCTGGTGGTGACCATCCTACGCCTTTCTCTTTGCTTGACTGAAACCCCAGCTGCTTCTTCTCTTTTCCCCAAGGCACTAGTGGATTTTCTGTTGCTTCCTCCATCTGAACTTTTGTCTGTGCTCCATGTAGAGAAGATGAAGACTTAGCAGCTGGCCAAGGCCCAGTTCTTCAACCACACTGCTTGCCAGCAGTTGCTGGGTGAACAGAGGCTGGTAATCCTTATCCTGCTGCCGTTCAGAGCCCCAAATGATGTACAGTGCACACAACGCTTCTAGACAAAGGGTGATGGCACAGAACTCTGTCATTGCTCTTCTGGGGCAGTGATCATTATCCAAATGGTCTCTGTGTTGTCGTAATGGAAAAAATATTGATGGCCTCAATGTCTATTGCATTGGATTATTTCAAAAGCGATTAGCAGTGGCACTAGAGCCAATGACAGGTGATACACTACTGCACTGCATGTTATGTCAGCAATGTGCCAGTATTCAGCCTTCAAACATATGCATACCTTCAAACCACACAAACACTAGCTGTTATTCTGGAAGAAGAGAGCAGCAGCCTAAATGGGCTTTTTCCCATACTTGCAGCAAATTATGGAATATTTTGAGTTTTTATTCAAAATAAATATTTGGACTTAGTTTTAGAACAACAAAAGCCTGCTGGATCTTTCAAGGCAGACAAAAATGTAAGCTGCCAATATGCAATTGTTGAAACGAGAATTTCAGCAATCAAGTATGAGGCAATTCTTGTTTCCCACACTAGGTCAGCACTTTCTTGTAGAGTTAGTTCATGTCGTCATAGTGTGCTCCATGGAGGTGGCTCATTTGTGTATTCTGGAGCTCAGACAAAGCCTGTTAGCTGACTTTTCTCTGTTACCTTCCACATATTTTTCCTGCATTTGTAACAGCACAGTCTGCCTGCTATCTGCAAATGAAACAGCTTCTCATCTATACTTTCCTTACACACAAAGAGACTTCTAAGGGTGTCAGGCGATGGCTGAGAAAGCTAGATTACATGCTACCTGAAAATTATCACAGAGGGATCTAAAAATGATCTTGCTTAATTAACAGATAGGGGTGTTTTCCTGTGCAGGTCCAACTATTTGACAACTGATACAGCTTGTAAAGTTGGATATAATTACACAGGGCTGAAGATCCCTAATAATGAAATAGTTTTTTATCTGTATAGAAGTAACTATGCTAGAATGGCTGTGTTCATATCGACATTACTGCAGTATATGATACCAGATGTACCATTTTAACTATCTTGGTATTGTTAAAATGGGCAGTTTAACATTTATGTGTGTATAAAGCCTTTAAGTAGAGAAATGCTCAATCTGTTCTCCATTTTGGAAAAGTATCTATTACCTTAGGAAGACTGCAGTCACCCTGACAACATGAAGCTTTGCTCAAACTCTATCAGTTCAATTCTCTCTATGTAGTCAGACATGAAATTGAGTTACAGTGGCTTAATGGGTTACCACATGTCAGTGGAGATGAATTTGTGTGCAGTCCATTGCCAACACAAGACAGAAATCATTAGAACCAACAACTCTATTTCACAGAGGTTTTAAAGATTTTTTTCTTATGTATGCTTGTAGTCTAAGAATGAACACACAATCTATTACTATGCTCAGCTGAAGACTAAGGCATTATTAAGTAGTAATAAGTTGATCTTGTAACTGAACTACAAATTACAGTTTTGAAATAATTGAATTATATCTGTTTTAAATTAGTGAATGGGAAGTGAAAACATGTATATATGGAATGACTCTTTCTTATATGCTGATAAAATAACACCTGTAGTGACTGCATTTAGTTCACTTGTATACTGATGACTGGAGATTTTCAGAGGTAGCTTAGAATCCATGATTTCCATTTGAAATATTTCCAGGTGTGCTTAGGCAGCTTCCTCCCATTTATCCCTAGAATTTCATGTTTATGCTTGTTTCAAGAAAATTACATGATCTTTTGGACTTCTGACAATTTTACCTTCATAATGAATCTTTTATATTTTTCCAACCTGTCACAGATTTGCTGACATGTAAAGAAACCTTTAGAGAGCCAAACCACAACAGTATAGAACAAACAGCTTTGTACGGGTTTGATTCTTAACAAAACCATGCTCTTTGCTTTATAAGTTTTACTAAAAAAGAGAAAAGAATTACTATACTTAAATTAATGGCTCAATGAATATCTCATCTCTTGATTACAATTATGCTCATGGCAAGAACATTGCCTTCAATTGCAATGCCTCAAAATGTTTTGGGAACTTCAAGAAAACAAGATCTGACTACACATTGTCAGGTATGCCTCTAGGGTAATTTGTGGAAGAAAAAGAGGGTTCTGCTCTTTCAGAATTAAAAAAAAATGTGGTCATATTAAAGTTTATGTTAGTTTCATCTTAGCTGACACTCAAGACTGTAATTATTTGCAAGAGAAATTTGAATGTAAATATTGTCAGCATTTTTTCACACTTTTTCATTGTGAAACAGAAACCATTGAATGTAATGAGAAGGAAGTTAAGAAACTCCCTCTCAGGATACCATGAGTTTCTTACATATTGCCACACCCTGTAAGTAAAAAACAGATCTCTTAATAGCAGCTAATCTGGATTACTTGAAATACTGTACTGCAAGCACCCGGCCAAATTCTGTTTAGCAGCAATGCTTGCAGTTGCTCCTTGTGTCAAAAACTCCTGAGGTCAGAATTTTATCACAACTTCTTTAGCTTGCTAGCAGATCTGGCAGATTCTCCCTTTTGAGAGCTGTTGTTTTGTTTTGGTTTTTTTTTGGTTTTTTTTTTTTTTTTTTTGTTGCTGTAAGAAAAAGAGACATGAGAGAAAAGAGAAATAACAGCTCTAAACACTGTAAACACTATAAAATTGATTTATGATGGCTTATGAAATTTACCTCAGACCTCAGTCCTTGAGGAAAATAGTACTTAGGGAGTAAGAATACTTCCATAATTATGCTCATCAGTCTTTTTTTTTTTGGTATCTTTTTTGAGCCATCACTAAAAGCATGTTCTTCTCAGGTAAGGTGGACCCTGAGACTGATTTCTCATCGACTTCTAAATAACCCGTCTGTAGTAATTTACTTCTGGTTTACCTGGATTGGATTAGGTTTGGCAAGGTGAAGGTAGGCTGCTTTCATGGAAATCTGGCTCCCAGGAAGTCAGTTTTCCAATAAATTGTAAAAAAGTTTTATCAATTTTTTTAAAATCTTAATCTATTTTGATTTTTTTTGTGAGTGTTCCTATTTATAGATAACTGCCCACCTTTTAATAAGTTAAGAATAAAACAGTTAATTCTGTGATATGACCTGTCAGTTTCAGGCTAAGGAAAGATGTTATTTTTAGTCCTACTTACTTCTTGGATAAAAGCTTAAAGGGAAGAAGATCAACATATAACTGAAATTAAGCCCTTGACAATGCCTATTCTGCTGTGTAATTCATAAATTAATGGATCATGAAAAGACCTTTAAAGAACGTTATCCATCAGAAATACTACCTTTGTATGTGCAGTGCTTATATCCCAGAAACCCTTGTGTTGATTTTGCCTTACTAGAAGACTGCAATCCTTTTGAGAAAGGATGAAAGAACCATAAAATAAGTTTATGTTGTTCAGTCACCAAATGTTATAAATGACTAACACAATATAAGAAAACCAGTAAATCTAATCTTTTGCAACATGTATATTTAACAGTCATAAAATCTACATTTGTGGATGTTGATATTAGACTTGTTTTAGATGCTGCTTGCCATACATCCAAATTACTTAGACCTTGAATAAAGCTAATTTTTCTTTCTAGAAACAAACATATAATTTCCAAGGTGACAAGAAATCTCCCACAGAATTTGTAGAATAATAGCATCTAGTAAATGCTTGCTATTCAAAATAATTTTACCATCACAGCATCAGAAAACCTTATGGCGAAGGTAATAAACAAAGCATGACTTCCCATCTGTCTTTTGTTTTTTTAATTATCCACTTGACAGAGAAAGAAACGTGCATATTAGAATAATGTAGAATTGCTTTGCTGATTTGCTTCCTATAATGACATATAGTGTGATATGCAAATGTATATGTGAATGAAGGAATATGGTTTTCATTGGAGATAAAAGGGGGTTAAGCACTTTTCTAATTTTTATTAGGTCTTCAGGAATGGCTCTCAAGAAAGTCCTAAAACTATTCACTCCACAGTCAGTTTTAATTTTACTGTGTAGACTGCATTGTGTGACTGTTGACCATGGCGGTTTCTCTGGAAATTTATCAATCTTGGTCCTCAGCCATGAAATGCCTCATAGAGCAAGACTTGAAGCATTCATCATTCTGTAGGGAGCTGGACTAGCAATCCAGAACCCAAAGGATTTGCTTATGACGGCTGCTCATTCAGAGCAGGTGATCAGGAGTGCCCCTGGCTTGCTGGACTTGCTGAAGGGAGGAAAGGTCTCTTGCCCAGGGTATGTCCAGTAGTTGGGTCAAGGGGAGAGCTGACTTGAATAACCACAGTCAGTTTATTGGCCTCACAGGGAGCCTTGGGTACTACCAGGGTCAGGAGAGAGTCTTGTCCATAGATGTTGCTGTGTAAGAGCTTCCTAGCTCTGAGGAATGCAGGAATGCTCCTGGAGCACGGACTGAGCTGGCCGATCACTTCACCGTAGACTTTTTGTTTAGTTATGCTTCATCTCATCTGGAAATTGCATTGACTGGGAAAAAAAGCAAAAGAGCAATTTGTTTTAATAAGATCAGACTTGTAAACTCAAAACAAAAGCTTTAGAAATACACACTTGTGACATTAGTCTGTTTCTACGGGGCTTTTATTTTCTTGATGAATTATTTTCAGAATTCATTTTTGACAGTTTTTGCCTTTTGATTGATACATATAGAATGCTATGAGATTGCAACATGGCAGTTCTCTTATCAAACTGCAAATGGGATAAAAATCGGGGAAGGAAACAGATGCTGCAGTGATTTCCTTGCACAGATGCAGCCCTTCTTCCCTCTGCACCCCAATCACATCTGGTGTGTTTGAATAACAAGGGCAAGCTCGGGGCACCATGGTGCTTGTGGCAGGATTGCTTTTGGCCTGACTGCTTCTCAAGATGCTGTCTCCTACCCCACTGCTGCTCAGTAGAAAATGGCTCTATGTTTTGGCACTGACTGGTTTGATCTCTATTGCCCTGGCTTGACAGCAGCTGGCTATAGAAACTGCTTTTCCCTCTCTATGTAAAGTACAGGTGTTTTAATTTGATATGTAGAAGTGCCACAGTTTTGAAGCTTATACTTCCTTCTCCAAGCCCAAAATAAACTGAGTTAGTTAATTGCCAGGACAAAGTTAGATTATTGCCTGTTATAATGCATCCTAGGAGATGAGCCATGATGTGTACTCCATTTGAAAATGGGGTGGGTTTGTTTTATTAGCTTAAACTTTGCCATATAATATGGAAACGATGAATTGTGGGCGCCTTGTTCTAAGAACTATGTTTTTATGGAACAGGTGTGCAGAGAACCAGATTGTTGCATTTAGGTTGTGCATAAATACAAATAGATAAAACCCAAGTGCTCCATTTATTATGTGTAGTTTTAAATAAATTATATCTTTGTATTACTTAGGTGTATCTTGCACCAAGGTAGGTTTTAAAATAGAAAATCATGTGTGTATGCATATTCTTCAACATGATTTCTAGCTTCCAATTATTACCTAAGACATTTAATACTTCTGTTCCCTTCAGCTCTGTACCATTGTCTCATGGTAAGTAAAAGATTAATTCTCTTACTTCATCCCAAAAGGCAAAGATAATTTTTCTCATCCCTTAGTTATACACTTGCATATATAATAGAAAAAAGTAATTTACTTTTCTGCCTATTCTAGATAATGTTACATAGAACTTAAGACACACTCACAAATCTGGAATCTCTGTCAAAATACTTTACAAGTGATTTCCTATCTTGTGCAAAACCTTCCCACAGCCACACAAGGAATTCACTCGTGAAATCTCCAACAGCCGTATGGTAGGTCATTTCAAGCTGACAATAATGCAGTAAACTCTCACTTCACAGAACACAGGTTTACTTCCACAAGGTCAGGATTTTCTGAAAGAAGGGAAGAGTGTTCTAGCTTGCTTTTAGAGGGCATATTGTTATATCACTTAGCTCTCAGAGCTGTGTGACTCTGTGAAGTCCCTCTCTAAAATCGGAAGATGAACATATTTTTATTATATAGAAACTGATTATTCACTTTCAACACAGCTTTGTCTTTCTGCCACTTGGCATATACACTATGCAAATCCTTAGGATTCTTGAAATGGGAGCAATAGTGCTGACCCTTTCCACCTGTCCCACCAGCTAGCAGTGCTGTTCATATTTACTACCACGTATGGATGTTATAGCAGAATCATTTTTACATCTACAGAGCTGCCTGGTGCTGTATCTCAGTCTGAGGCTTATATCCCAGCTTTCTTCCTAGCAATGCTTTTGCACCTTCAGTACAAAGCTAAGACTTGAAAATAGAGATTTATTTTACCTGTTGACTATCTGTACTGTATACACACTGAAGCAATTCAGGCAAAATACAAAATTACTAAAGCTTCTGTCAAAATTCAATGGGGAAATGAATATTTGAGATTTTACACATCCAAGCTTCTCCTGCTTCCCAGTTTTTAGTGCTTAGTTTACTTAGAAGGGTCAGAAAATTCAAAACACAAAATCCATGGGGCTATTGCATCTGCCCAACAGTGGAAATTTCAAAACAACATCAACTGGTCTCAAAACAACCTCTCATCCTGAGAGGAAATAGCTGAGAACTTTTTTATGAGTTTAAATGTACTCTTGCACTGTAATTTGGAGGATAGCTGAAGTGACACAGGAGAACAGGAGGCACATACTAATCAGAGAAGGGCTGTATGGACTGTGCATGTTATACATGCCTGAGTGTTGATGGAGCTTTATGAGCACCACAGAGGCAGTGCTCAGCTGGGTGGACCAGGAGCCATCTAAGAACAAATAAGGTAGCTGGGGCAAATGGAAATAAAGAAGTTTCTCACATTTAACCAACCTAAGTTAACTCCTAGCAACAAAACTGTTGGTGAAAATATTACAACAGCAAGTTTCAGGTTGACTTGCTAAAGACATCTCTTGCAAACAAGGGAGTTACAGAAGTCATTAAATGTATCTCCACACATTGGTGTTCAAACAGAATGGGCGGGGCAGTTATGAGAGATTGTGCCCCTGCAAAGAATCTCACCAAAATAAGATTTTAGCCTGACAATATGGACAGGAGTGTTGTCCTTATTCCTTACTCCTGTACAGCAAGCCATGTGCCTCCTCTTTCAGGTGAGAGACAGGTATCCAGAAGGAGACCTCACTGCGAGAAAAAGATGGGAGGTGTTTGCTGTCATTGATTTGTCTGGCTACCAAGCTCAGTTATTACCACTGGGTCCCAAAGCAAGGAGTGAATGCATGCTTTTCCATGGTTTAATGGTCTTCGTGCCAAATCTCTCCAGTGATGCACTATTAAAAGTGCAAGTCACGAAGCAATCAGAGCAGGGACCACAGCATGTACTAGAACTGTGACAGTTCACACTTCATAATTAAACTGGCAGAAAGATTAAGTAAAGGCTTCTTTTATAAAATGAAAATTAAGAGTAGAGAATGGTAAGAGGTAATCTGCCTTTTACTAGAAATAAGATCTGAAACATGAATTCTTGTGTTTGTACTGGATAAGATCCTATGGATAGAAATAAGATGATTTACATTTATTATATACCATGGCATGCAATGATTTTCTAAAAATGATGTGTGTGCATATATATTATCTTAAAATGCTTACTGCTTGTGAGGATATAGAAAATAAACTGTTTGTTCTCAAGATAAGTTTAAAGTATTAATTATTTTGAATGTTTAATTAAATTGGTACTTCCAAATAATTTGACTTAGAAAATTAGGAGTTTGTAGAACAACCAACAATTCTCTTTGGGCTTTGTTTTAAGTAGTTGTGCATGCTTAAATGAGACTAAGATTTTCACTTAAATTGTTAAAACTATGTATGTTTGGAATGATAACTAATTCCTAATAGCACTTATAAATCATAGTATTTCCATTCCTGATCCAAAAGACAATAAAGAAGTCACAGAGACAAAATATTGTCTATCTCTGTAGATATATGCCATAATATAGAAAGAGAGAAAATGTTTCTTCCCCTAATACTTGTAGTTTTCATGCTTTGCTTTTCTAACTCAGTGTGCTTCAGATCAGGACCTTGGTATCTCACTGTGGAACAGCTCCATGAAGAGAAACTGTGAGCAATGCTTTCTAGGCTAGCTGAGAGTCTGTAGGGCAGAACACTCATTTGGATAATGAGATAGCATCATCAGGTCTTAAATAGAACCACATTCCTTGCTATTAAGTTGTTGTGGTCTGTTTGGTGTTTTCCTGAAGGTATTAAATCTTTTCATCCACAGGAACTAGTGTGATCTTGATGATATGATAAATTTGACAGTATTTCCAGATTTATTAAAAAACCCCTCCAAACTAACTGGATTAACTCTAGGGTAGTTTAGAAATATATCACACATTGCCATCATACATAAATTTGATTGACAGTACCTATATATGTATCATTTGTTCACCATCATAATTCTGTTATCTAGTTAAAAATTATGCTTCTCAAAGTATGAAATAGGTTTAAAAAGAATGCTAAAATGGAAAAAAAAGTTAAGTTCTTTTAGTCTGTATACTGTTGTTCTTGACCATGCAACTGTATCACATTTTTAGCTTTTATACAGATGATAGCTTGAAATGTACTTGATTTTTGTTAATGAAAGGTGGGATTTTCTTCTATTCCTTCGTCTGAAGGAATTGTGGCTCTAACATAGCATGATGACTCAGAATATTGAGACAGTGATATTGCTTAGAGTGGTAAAAAATGATGCATAGAGATCTCTTTATGTTACACTGTCATGTCATTGGAAAATTCTTCAGTGACAGATTCAAACAAGTATTTCTTAACAAGAGCCAGTTTTTATATTTTTGAAAATATTTGTTTTAGGCAGAAATTGAAGTTTTGACTGTATTGCAAATTTTGGTATCACCACTTCAATGTAGATAAATATAAGTGATACCCATGAAAAAAGCAATCTTAACTCTCCTTGTAGTGTGATCAGCTCTGAATTGAATGTTACCACTTAGGAATGAGATCTCGGAATTTTAATGAATAGTTTTTATGAAACCACCAATTTAATGCTCAGCAGCAATAAAAATGTAAATTGAATGTTAGGAATTATTAGAAAAGAAATACAGAACAAAAGAAACTGCATAAATCCCTACAGAGCTCATGTCCCCTCTTCTTAAAAAACATGTAGTGGAGAACTGGAAAAAGCTTAGAGAAAGGAAACGAGAGAAGCATGGAAATGCCTTCACATGAAGAGTGACTTAGAGGTCTTCTAAGTTTGGAAGAAAATAATATGGAGACTCCTTGCCTCTTTCCATCAAGATCTAGATGTCTATGAGCCCAGCATGTATGCAGTTCAAAGCTACTTTATGTTTTTCCTTATGCGGTGCGTACTTACGTGTGCAATTTATCCGTGTGTGTTATGTGTACTGTGAGCTAGCAGAGGCAAAAAAACCTACACAAAAAAATCCATGGAAGTTCCCATTGTGAAAAACTAAACACAAAGACATTAGTGACGGCACAGGAGATACCAAACACATCTTCAGGGAAAGCCATCACTGTGTGTTTTCATACCCTTTCCGAGGCATCTGCTGTTGATTACTGTCCTGGGCCAGGTAGACTCTGGTCTGAGTAGGACCATCCCTATGATGTGTAGCAGCATCAGAAGAATTTATCAGTGGAGGAGCTGGGCTGATTACGTAGTTTTACTGAGAGCAGATGGTACTTGTGAATCTGAAGGGTTTGTGGCTGTAGGATAAGCTTATGTGTTCAGATGTCAGTGCTTGATGCAAACTAAATCTAAAGAATGATGAACACAGGATGAAAAGAAGAATCTATGCTTCTCAGGACTATTGCTGCAGGCTGGCTGAACAGAAAACAGACTGGGAGCATGGGCAAGAAAATGACATGAATAAACCTCTCTGAAACAGATAACTGCTGGCTTCAAACTCTCTTGTAGCCTGTGGTGAGTGGATGTGGTTTTAACTCCCTGCTCCTAACTTGATAATCATGGGCTTTGAAAGAGTGCATGAAGACTAATGTCTACGCCACCGTGACTTGCTATGAAATCTACCTTTTCCTTGCCATCTGATAAGGCTGATGCAGATTAATGCTTGTTTCTCACACATCCTCTTTAGGTGGGTGAGAAAGGCCAAGAGCATGGAACACAGCCATACAGCAGAGCCTCAAGGCCAGTTAACATGCCCAAACATGCTATTTATCAGTGTAGGTATAACCAGAGTGCCTTTTAAGTGTCTTTTCAGCCCCTTTTACCCAGCTGACAAGAGTGGGGAAAAGTGTAAGTACAGACTCTCTTATTTTGCAGAAAAGCAATAACTGTGATTCTGGTTTATATTAGAGCAGCTTGAAAAACTGCCCTGCCCTGGCAGCCCTCTAGACTTTATGTCCAAACTTAGATCACATGTGTTCAAGCTTATATCACATATAAATACACATACACTCACTTGAATAAAACCCTGGCCTGCTGGGCACAATTATATCAGCATTTGCCTAAGTTCAACATTTATGTTGCTTAAGAAAGGCTATCACTTAGTTTTTTGCTTTTTTTTCAAATTTAAACAAAACCTTGAAATTCCAAAATTTACTGAGAAATAACATTTTGGAATTGCTTTACTTGAAGTCATCAAAAGAGCTCTTTATCAAAGACTTTGATGGAATCAAATCAGTTTGTTTTGCCTTTATTATTTCTACTTTCAAGTGATAACACATTTGAAACATAGTGATTTAAGTGATGAAGTCCAACTGAAATTATGTAACCTTTTAGAAGTAAAACCAAATAATTTTCTTTAATTTTTTTGATGAACTCAATACATTTCTACAGATCATTGAGTCAGCACTTACTAATGAAAAGCAGTTCTTCTGGAACTGCTTCAAACAGTCCTTGCAGGATATAAGACTTTTAAAATTCCAGACTGTAGATAAAAGCCCTCTTCAAAAAAAAAAAAAAAAAAAAGAAAAAAAAGCCTTTTACTCTAAAAAGCAAAATTACTCAAACTAAACAAATGTTTATGTTTTCTGCCTGCTTGTCACACATGAGTGCCTGTGAATATAGTCTAACACATTTGACAGGTCTGCTGGTCTGATTTAGTACTTAATTCTGCTTTTTTTTATCCTCCAAATTTTTGCACAATATCTGCTTTCATCCTTGCTTATTAATATTGGCTAGAGTCTGTGTTATATTCCATCCCAAACAGCAATGCTCATAGGAGCATTTTGAAGTCAAAATAATATTCCAGCATCAATTTTATACTCTACTGTCCTATAAAAACTCTTTCATCTTTGTCTTTAAATGCTATTTTGAAAACCACAGATACTTAGGCTTCATACCTTGCTCACCAAAGGAACAAAGACTGAACACTGTTTGGCTCCAAGTGTCAATCAGGACATAACAAGTTAAACAGCAGTCAACACATTGGCAGATGAGTAACACCGAGTGGTTACTAAGCAGTGCTGAATGCTGTTTGTCCTAGTCTACCTCAGCAGCTTAATGTGTTTACTTATTCATCTGCATCTGTTAGGGTGTAGCCAATGTCAGTAATGGGTAATTTTCCCAGTAGAGGCAAGGTTTTGGGGCTCATCTTACAAAACCATTCAGACCTGGAGGATATTAAACTGTGATTAAGCTAATTGATTTCAATAGGTGCTAATCATGCAGGCTCTGGCAATGCACAGTGATGAAAAACTAGTGTGCCCTGTCCCTTGGACAACAAATGTGTATCATACTTGCCCACTATCAAGACGAGATATTTTTCTGTCACAATTTGGGTATGTGTTTGGTTTTTCTATAGCTGTACCCCATGCTGAGTGGATTCACTTTAGCAGTCTCAATTTTCTACTTGGGAATAGCCTGTGGATAAGTCAGGTTCTCATCAGTGTAAGGAGATGTTACAATTTAACGCCTAATACAGGATCTGATTAAGCAAATGGAAATGACCTAACAAGTTGTCCCACATGTCTGCTTAAACACTTACTCCAGTGGTAGTATTTACTGTGCCCTGACTGACAGATCTGCGGAGGTAGCAGTTTGCTGGTTCATGCTTGGGCTTTCAATGAGGTGTGTCTGAACGCAGAGAAACTCCACTACTCCCATCTTTGCGCCACCAGCAAGGAGTGGGTGAGCAAAGGATGTGCAAAGCAGCACCAGAGAGCGACTGGTAAGGAACCAGGAATCCCAGCAGCCTGTAAAGGAAGGGACTTAGGGAGTGGGGCAGGATAGAAACCTAACCCACTTTCTCCATGCACCTGCCAGTGCTCACCTGTTCCATGTTCTCACCCTGGTGGTTTTTTTGTCTCTGAAAGACGTGAGCATCCCCAGGACCATCTTATGTGCCTTCCTCCCTTCCCATCTTCTGTGGAAACAAACCACTGGCAGCTTGTCAGCCCAGGTCCTGTGTCTTATATGTTGACTGTAACTTATATTTAAATGGCTTATCATGAAATGGGTCTTGCACCCGTGTATGTGGGGGAAGAAGGTCCCCAGAGATACTACATCTTGGGAAAATGATCAAGAGCATAATGTAACATTCCCTTGCATTTAGAATAGCCTTTATTTCACCACAGCTTTCATTTCAGTCTGTGCTGCCAGATGAAGGATGCAATAAGCCTGATTAAATTTCCATGATTTATATATATTTGCAGCACATTGAGTCCATAATTAAAACAATGGGGGACAGAGGCCCCAGCTGTGATGTGCAAACAGAGACCTTCACATGTCAGACAAGAGAGGGATGTGTGAGAGAATACAAGTTAAGACTGATACAGTATTGAACACTGTACTGGGTGTCAGCCTGTGTATATTAATATCTTCTTACAACTTTTGGAGCCACATCAGAGGAAAAGATGATTGGGGTGGGTTCTCCAGTAACTTAAATTAGATTAGTTTACTGAATTACAGATATGTTAAACAAGAGTCAGTTGGGAGAAAGCTGATTGAAATATAGGTACCTGTGGTGGAAGCTGGTATCATGAATCCAGAAAAAGAGTGGGGCCGTGGTGAGGACCTGTAGGTACCTCCATGGGAGACTGGAGGAGGAATCATGAAGATCCTCTCACTGACCCACTTAGGGAAGAGGGAAGAGGAAATGACCTAGCCAGGTAAACGAGGGCAGGATTGCATGACAAACAAGAAAGCTAATTGTGCTGAATGCAGCTGACTGATCACAGAGGATGGTGAAATAGCAGTGCTCAGTTTTGTCTGGACACTGTTCTGGAGAGAGCAATTTGAAAGGGATGAGAGAAGGAAGCTCATCTCCATATGACAGATGTGTACCAGATTGCAAGTCAAATACATGAGTATCAGTAAGGTGAATTTGTATACAATGCACTGTAACTTCAGGATAAGCAAAAGAAAGAATGGAGGAATATACAAGTTAATGTATGACTACTTTGTAAACTTGTTTGCAGATTGTATTGTTGTAGGTACCTCTCTGACTGAAGCAAATGAATCAAAACAGCATTGAGTGACTCTGTCCAAGTCCCACAGTAACAGGCATCTTAGTTTCTACCCCTGCTTGTCATGGGTGGTCATGGCTTTCATGTCAGAAATCCCTTACTCCTGGTGTCTGTTAGCCATTTTTACAGTGAGACAGACGTGTGATCTGTGAGACAGTGAGACAGACTATTCCTTACAGATAGCGAGATCCACAATAAATGGAAATAAATGGAAAAAACAGACAGGGATATAAAAATTAAGTAGGTTTAAGATGAATACTTCTTTGCAGCAGTTGAGGAGGAGCTCAGAGTGACCAGATAGCATCTGCTGAGAAATAGGAGGATTTTCTTTGGATTTTAGGAAGGGGAAAATCTGCAAAGCAATGGTAAGCTGTTATGCACCCCAGTTCACAAGACAGTGGGGAGAAAATAGGCATAGTGTTTTCTCTGACACATGTTGGGATACAAATGGACAAGCAGTTTGGCCATGAGGGTCTCCATGGCTGCTGCCAAGCACAGCTGCTTGGTCGTCTTTTAGGGGTGAATAACCCAATTGCATTCTGCATGCCTGGCAGACTTCTCCCGAAGGGTTCAGGGCAGGTGTATCCCTGCCCACTTCCAGGCTCATGACACCAGGTGTGCTATGCAGCCCCAAAGGTCGGTGGTGCAGTGAGTGGCAGTGTCAGGGGACCCACAGAAGGAAACAGGAATCAATCACAGTGTTGTAGCAAGGCATGGGCCCTGCAATACCTCCTGGGGCATGGATGCCTTTCATGCTGATGCAGCTCAGATGTCCCCAGTGCATCTGTGTTGACAGCAGCATCCCAGATCAGCCCAATTGGGCTTTTCTGTTCTGGGGTATTTCCCTTTTGTCCCAGGCAGGCTGGTGACAGAAGCTAGGAACACCTCTGCTATTGGTGTCCTGTCTTCCTGGCCTGCCTCTGCCCCAGCCAGTGGCTGAGAACAGCTTTTAGGATGCTGGCAGGCCAAGCACCTTTGTGTAGGGCTTTCAGAGGTGCTGCTGGAAACAAGATGATGCCAGGGATGAAAGGGCAGCAGGGACCTCACCCCTGCCATCTCCGTGCAGCCAGGCCATGCAGCAGCTGAGGTGTTAGTGGGGACAATGGCAGTGGCAGAGACATCACGGCTGTTTCCCCCTCCTGTTGAGTAGAGCATGGTAAGAGCAATGAGTTCCCTCCCCACCTCTCTGCTGCGAGCAGCACAGGCACCCTTCCTGCAGCTCGGCGTTCCTTATTCATTACCATCTCCTTACCTCCACACCTGTTTGATATTACATATTCAATTTGGAAATACTGTCCTTTTTGTCCCCTTTTACACCATCTGTTGACACAATCCCGTGTGTGTCTGGGTAAGATCCAGCTGGCAGGAGGTGAACACATTCACATCTCCTGAAATTGCTGATTCAGGGAGGGGAGGCGGGGGACACGCACACGCTCCAGAGCCCCGCACCCCGATAGCGCCGCAGCTGAGAAGCGCCAGTGCCCTGTGCGCTAGTGCCAGGCGTTATCAATGCACAGCCATCCTTTCACCCCCGCCTGCCCTCCCCGCGCCCCCGACGTGCCTGTTGTAATGGGGGAACAATGGCAGAGCCAGAGTGCCCGGCACAAAGACAACAGCTGCACTCCCGGGTCGGCCTTTGCAGCCGCCCCGCACAATGGCCATGTGTAACCCCATCCCGCTGCCCGCCTCGGAATAATTTATTTATAGATGCAATATCTCTTTCACTGGCCTATTTAAGAATGTCTTCTCATAAATGCATGGAAATTGAAATTATTCTCTGCTTTTCCCCCGAAAGATTAAGGTATCTGTTCCATTTAGATAAATAGTGCAATTTTGGAGGGGAAGAGGGAAAAAAGCTGTTGGAATATATGCAATAAAGGATGAGGAGAAGTTGATTAATTGTAACGTGTGCATTTTTAAAAATTAAATATATCTCATTATTAGTGTCTCTGCAATAATAGGCACATGTTTAACTAAAGGAAAAAAAAATACTGAAGTCAGGAAAAAAAAAGCCCTCCTAGGCAATGAATACTAGTCTTTCCTCTACGAGAGATGACTGGTTGCCTCTTTGGCAATAAAACCTCTTTCACCCTCACAGACTGTAAGCATGAGCATCTGCTTAGGACAGAGAATTTTCTACCATCCAGGAGACAGTGAATCATCTCTCACATGAAAATATGGTTAGTTCAGCACACTGCTTCCTTCTCTTAAATACAGCATGTGCAGCCTATGTATCATCTAAATGTGTAGTGTAACACAAGATCAGAAATGAGAACAGTCTCTGAGATCTCTAAAAAGAACTAAAACCAGCAAAAAGTTTTAATACCCTCAATTTTTAAAAATAATAGCTCTTTAATTCCTTTTTCCCCCCCTTTATTTTCACTACAACTAAATTTCATTTTATTTGTCTAAATCCTGATCTCTGAATACAAACAAATAGTAGCTTGGTGACAACACTTTCCTGTGTTAAAAGAGTTGCTTTAAGGATCAGGAACCTGGAGTGCTTCATTCATCCACATTTTGTGTGTGTGTGAACATACCTGTGTAAGGAAAACATGACAAGACAGTCTCCAAATAGGAAAAAGTTCTGGCGCTGCTAAACACTCTCCAGACACTTCCATTAGATTTAAAAAAAAAACCTTAAAACTCCTCGTGATATGGAACACACTTTATTGGTCGCTCTGGAAGGAATTTTTAAAATGAAAAACACCATATATAACATTATCACAGTTTCTGTATAAAGTGTACTGGAAAAAAATGCATGGCCTATTTATATCATCCTCTCTTCCATCCCCTGCAGTCCACAGGAAAAGCCTCATGACTGGCAGCTGTTTGACTGCCCTATTATCTGAGCCTGCGTCCAGTCTGGCTAATTACAGTCACTGATTACTAAACACTGAGCAGCACTGTCACCTGCCTTAGCCTGACAGGATTATACCATCTGTGCCACATGGCCAGGGTATGGAAAGCTGGTGAAAGGTCACAAAAAGGGGCAAATAACCCTTAATGGGAGGTAAATGTATGTTTACAGACGTGACAGCTGACTGTCATTAGAGTATATACACGTATTCACAGCTGAAGATACTTCTCAAGGAAGAATAAGGGACATACGAAGTGTGGCTTTGTCAGACAGTTGGGTTTTTTTCTGCCCCCAAAATAGGTGTTATTCACTGGGAAGAGACTAAATACACTTCTGTCAGACACATTGATGTAACACCGGGACCAAATGTTTTCCCTCCTCACCTCCCCAGACTGTTCCTGCCCAGCAGCAGCAGTTTGGAAAAGCTGATTTAGTGAAGCTGGTGCAAGCCTTTGTGCTGGTGAACTGTCTGCTTTAAGGGAGCTCGTTGGTTCTACTTGGTTTGTGTCCACAGAGGCACCAAAATTAAATCCACTGGGTAATGAAGACTGGGCTACTCTCAGGGAGCAGCGCAGGGGCTGTAAGCAGAGGGTCTCCCCTCTCCAATACCCTGCTCCAGTGCATGTCTTGCTTCTTCCCACCTGCAGTGATTGCATGGACATTGCTCCTTCCTGCACCTCTTCTCTCACCAATGCCTGCATGCTTGTACCTGCCCTCCGCTCTGCCCAAGCCTTTCTTATGGCTGCTGCTTTTCTTCCCCTGCACGCGAGAAATTTCTTTTCCCAAGTACACGTGGCAATGCAACCTTTTCACAGAAATCTTCATTCCTTGTTTAATGTCTCCATGAATTTAGGTTATGACTTTCCAAAGGGTATTTTGCAACTTTTTCTATGTATCTGGGCTGAGCCCTCCTGGGGTCAGAGAGGCATAGTGTTTATTCACTACCTTTTTGGATCATTCCAACTCAAATATGATCCCTCGTACACCTTGGAGGTTATCTAAGTTATCCGGAAATCACCATAATTTGTTGGCTTGGAAATTTTTTCTTGCTCACACCAGTCTCTGGAGCATTTTGCAGGCAGTATATACCCAAGAGCATCCATAAAGTGGCCTAAATCTGACAGTATATGCCTCTGGGTCTCCTCAGCTTGTCCAGGGCTATTATCTGTGCAGAGGATGGTGACATGAAGTCTGACATGGGCTCATGGTTGTCAGTCTTCTGTTATCAGCTGCTCAGTGAGTTGCACCATCACCTGCTATGGCCACTTCCCCAGGTTTGGGTTGTGGTCTGCTGGGTAGGGAGCATCCTCCACTTTGCTGTATTCTGCTTGAAATATGCAGGTATTTTAGCCATGAAAACAAGCAATCTGTGCAACTGGAAGTGATTTATTTCAGCTAAGTTGTGGTGTCACATGCTTACTACCTTGCTTTTATTCTCCTTGGATTTCTTGCCTAGACATTCTCTTTTGCTGTCAAATTTGTATTATGTTTCTCCAGTTGTGTTCAATTGGTCTGGTCATTATTTACCAGGTGTTTTAGTATGTGATTCTAAGATAGATGTTTGATTGAAAAAAATTACTACAAATGGCCTTGCATAAATCAATTCACACCTTAAAGAAAAACACATGAATGCCCAAAAGGTGCATATATGTCATAATTGAAGCAGACTTACATTTAATGGAGTGTAATCTTCTTAGAAATCAAAATATAATTTATTTCATGTCACACAGGTGACCAACATTTAACAGCCACTGAGTACAGAAATTTTTCAAAAGGTATCAAATCAGGGTGTCTAATGCTCTGAGTTTTCATAGCCAACCTGTGTGGTTTTCTAATATCTGCTCTGTTCTGGTTTTTTTTTTTTTTTTTTTTTGTTTGTTTGTTTTTTTTTCTGGTGAGCTCTTTAAAATTGATCTCAGGAGCAGAACACATTCAAAAAGCAACTTTGTATACACCTGTGTGTACACCAATATGTTCACTAGTCTGCCAGTGGAGTCAGACACTGACATTTCATGGGCAGTATCACCATCCAGACTGGGACTGGGATACTGGAGCAGGGGCACGAAGTGATGATCCAGAGCACTTCTAGGAGGGTAGCAAGATGAAATTCAGTGGCACAAAATACATGCATTCTTTCAACCAGTGCCGAGACTTTCTGTTGGGAAGTGAAAAGGAGCATAATTGGGATGTGCTGGTAGACTTCAGTCATTGGGGTGCTACTGATGTGCTGTAGCTGTGGAAATCCCAGGCTGATTCTGAGACACACCATTTCCAGGGCAGATAGAGAAATACTTTTAACTCATTTGGTTACCAGCATTTACCCTTTTGCCTCTTGCCCCTCCTGTGGGTGAATACAGGCAGGTCTGGTGCTGCCCACAAGCCTGGTCAGCCATGCCCAGAGCAGATAAGTGCAAGCTGAAGCAGGTATGGAAAGCATTTCCTTGGATGAACAAGGGACCTGGCTGCTTAATTTGAGAGAGACAGCTTAGAGAGTGTAGCTCATTTAGCTCCTCAAGACAAATACCAAGAGAGAAAAAGATGTGATTGCTCACTCTAAATTTATCAGCAGAGGCAAATGCCAGGGAGGGAGAGGAACTATTTAAGGTGAAGGACAATGTTGGCCTAAGAGCAAATGAGTGCAATCTGGCTATGAATAAATTTAGGCTGAAAATTAGAAAAGAGTTTCTAACTATCAGAAGAGTGAGTTCTCAGCTTTTTAATAGGAATTCAAGAAACCCAATTCTTATTCAGTCCAATTTGATAAGATTATTAAAAAGCTGCCTGTGATAGGAGGGAACCAGTCTATGGCTTAGAAGGTCTCCTCCATCTCTGAGCACTGATGGATACAGGTTGACTCGATTGAAATTATATTAAGAATTTTCAAAAGTCAGAACTCCAATTGTCAAAAGAGTGTTACAAATTTTTGATTCTTTGGACTGTAATGTCTCCTCTGCATTTCTCTGTCTTTTCTATGCACCTGTGAAACAGAGGATAATTCCACCTCTCCTCCCCATTTAATCACAGAGCTGAAAATACCCTCACTGTGGTATTATGAAAATATACTATTTACTGTTTGTGTAGCACTCAGGAGTGCTGTGAGGATGAGTATCAAAGGAAAAAAAAGCTGTGCTGAAATTAATAATTTTGGCTGCACAGCTAGGTTTGAATTACATCTAGTAAATCATGCCTAGGGCAACACACTGAGTGAGAAGAAAATAAAATATTGAATAGTTGCTCATTAAGTGAACACTAGCTATTCCGTGAACTGAATGAGGCAGGGTCCCATGGAAAATACAGTATGTGATTTTGTAATTTAAGATTAGAAGAGGGCTGAATTAAGGTTGCACAAGCCTTTCCTTATGCCTTTCCAGCATCAAGGATCTGGACAACCAGGGGATCAGGCCCAGCCAGTGTGTGTTAATGAAAGGCAGGTCCTGCTGGACCAACCCGATCTCCTTCTATGACAAGGGGACCTACTTAGACACTGCAGTGCTGGAGAGAGTCCAGAGAAGGACAGTGGAGTGGGTGAAGGGTCTGCAGCACAATTCCTATGAGGAGCAGGTAGGGCATCCGGGGTTTTTTAACCTTGGGAAAAGGAGGCTCAGGATGGAACCTTATTGCTCTCTACAACTACCTGAGAGGAAGCTGTAGGGAGGTGGGGGTTGAGCTCCTCTCAGGTAAAAAGTGATAGGTCCTCAAGCTAAACAACAGGAGCATCTGATTAGATATTTGGGGAAATGTCTTCACTGAAAGGGTTGTCAAGCATTGGAACAGACTGCCCAGGGAAGTGGTGGAGTCACCATCCCTGGAGGAATTTGAAAGAGGTGCAGCTGTGGTGCCCAGGGACATGGTTTAATGAAGGACTTGGCAGTGCTGGGTTAACAGTTGGACTCGAGGATTTTAGAGGTCCTTTTCAACCTCAACAACTCTGTGATTCCATGAATAGCCACCCACCCTCCTAATCTCGCCAGTCTGCATGCAGGGAGATGCTCTGGTGTGCACTGTGTGAATGCCCCCCACAGTACTCTGCCCTTGTCACAGGCAGCTGGAGAAGAATGAGAGGATTGCACCAGCTCACCCACAATCAGCTTCTCAGAGCCAGGGAGAGAATAGTGTTCTGTCTCGTGAGGAAATTGGAAATTTATTTCGTCCCAGCTTGGAACTCACCCTGTCTTTAGAAATTCTGTGTAAATGCAAGTTGTAGGAGTGATTAAAATCTTGACTGTTGAACCAAGAAGATTGGGTAGCCCAGGCAAACTACCTTTGTTGTGAATTTTGAAGTGTAGCTGACTTAGAATATGAAGCTCAGGCTTTGGGTGTCATATCAGGACTACCACACAGGCTGCCAAAGAGGAGCAGGTACAGTTCCAAGAACCCATGTCCATTTCAAACCTTGCACTTCCCTTGAAAGCAAGAGTTTGGAAAAAAGGTTGAAGATATCAGTGAGAAAGCAAACATTCTATCATTATTTTTCAAGCTGGTTACAGCACAAAACATGGAATAATTGTCAACAGGCTGTCATGGATAAGGTGAGATACGGCTATGGCAGGAAGAGCTGCCACTCAATAGGTGGCTGGCAGTAGCCCTTCCTTGGGCACACAAACACTCATACCAGTGTGTGGCTTTATTCTAGCTGGAGTGTCTGGTAGGCCACCATCAAATGCTGAAACAAAATCTCTCTATTTTTAAAATAGCTTTGATATAAAAGTCAAACTAATAACATGTGTTGTGAGTTTGGGCCCCTCTGTTTCTTAGCACCTGACATCTTCCTCAGCTGGGGACTGGTTCCCAGAGTGGGGCTGCTCACCTCTCCCTGGACCCTCTGCAGTTTCAAAGTGGGCACTAACAAAACAAGCAAAACCTCAGCCAGTTCTGAAAATCAAATTCCTCAAAAGTTATCCAAGAAACATGTATTTCTCAGCCTTGGGAAACAGTATTATTTATAGGCTCACCCAGAATACTTGGTGGGATATTTTCTGTGTGAATTGATGCAAAGGAGTCTGGTGTGACTGTATGTACTATTCTAAGGCAGACACACCCCATATTTAAAATATTCCTGGTTTACTATAGTCAACAATATTTTCATGTTTGTTTGTCATAGCATGCATGTCTGTAATTATGTGCTGATGGCACATTCTTACTAACTGAAAATATTATCAAAAAATACAGAGCTATCTCTAGATGCAGACCTTGTTTGTGACAGCAATGTTTGCTATTGAATCACAAGGCACAGAAAGCAGTGATTTGCACAAGAACATCTAATGCATAAGAAGTGTGCTGAACACTACTTCTGCACAGGAAGAGGGAAGGAAGAAAAACATATTCATCTCAGTAGTGGTTAAACGATAGTGCAAGCCAGTAATTACATGCAAATTATGACCTTGTGCCCTTCAGTCAGCTCCTCAGTAAACATGACTGCTTTTAATTTCCATTCCTTCAGCAATAAAATTCACTGTTTTCAGACTAAGTTCAATTCTTTTCTTCGGCTTTTCAATGAAAATATGTGGTTTTATACTTCAAAACTTTAAACAATGCTGGGCTTTTTAATATTTAAGGGATCATAATTGAAATATAAAACTGGTGCTAAAATATTAGCTTTTATGAATTTCACTCTTTTCCTTTAAGCTTTTCTATCATTAAAAGGCATTACTTACAAGTTTAAAATTTAGAGACACTTAAACATACATGTTTTTCATTTTCTTTTTACACTCTGTAATGTTTCTAAAGCTGAAGAAATGTCAAAAAGTTGTATAAAATAATGTGATGAAAGAAATGGATGCTTTTCATGTAATGTACATATAAATTTAAAAAAATACAGACATACAGAAAGAGCGTGGGAGAAAAATGTGAATGAAGCAGACAAAATTACTTTAAAAAAATACATGTTAAGAGTACATTTTAAAAAGTAATGGAGAATCTCACTGAACTGGAAGTGACTTAATTAATGGAACTTATTTCCATTTTTTATATTTCTAATTTTTCTATTTCTTTAAACAATAAGAGGCAAATAAGAACTGAACTCCAGAGCTTACATATTACCATGAATTTCAGTGTGACAAACTGTAGCTACACACAATTATGTGCTATCAGTTGCTGAAGTGGAATTCATTATTTCCTACCTTAAGCTATCCTATAAATTTGCTCTGCACTGTTAAGCAGATATCAAGTTCTGCCTAGAGATAGAAACACTGCTGATGAGCAAAGGAGATCTTAATAGATAGTTTGTTGATGCTTCTATTAAACTCAAGAAACATTTTGAAGAAAAGACAGAAATCATTCTTCCATGAACAGTCACGTTGCATTTCCCAGCATTTCCCCTCTAATGTTCCTGCAAAGCACAGAGAGTCATGGTTTCATTCCCCTGGCACGGGTTAAGGCAGAGCATATTTTGGTGCAGAATTGCCTAGAGCTGATCTCCTGGCACTGGACAAGCCTAGGAGTCATCACGATGCCTCTTGGGTAACCCAGGTGCTGCGGTGGCTTTACCTCAATCACACACTCCTGAGGTTTCTAGTGGCACGTCCACTGATGGCTGGAGAAGTGTCTGCCTGATCCACTGTGCTAATTCTTCCCAGGAAACTTCTCTGGGGGCTTGGCAGGTGCCATGGCAGCACAAGGATGTGCAGAGGATGCACTGACACATTCCCATGGAGCTACTCCCTATCCACGCCATTGATGACTGCAGGTCAGTGTATTGTAACCCTGACTGAGAGACAATGTGAGGCAACAGCTCCACCACAGCAGGGCTGGAGGCTTTTGTGGGTAGATGGGATTTAAATAATTGGCAGGGGCAGGAATGAAACCTGACTTAACTTGATTAAAGAGGAATCCTAGCTCAACTCTGTGCATGTGAAATGCTGCTCACTGCTGTTTCATCTGCTAAAATCAGAAACAGGTTTACTCCTATGACCTACCTGTAGTTCAGACACTTTTTCCCACCAAGACACACCTTTAAATGCTTTGCAAATATCAGCAAACTCAGTTTCACAATGGGAGTTTCTGCTGGCAGGCAGACTGCATCTTCAATTTTTTGATGAGGAAATAAGGCAGGATCGGGGGCTGGCTCCAGGCCACAATCCTGTGTCTGCGTGGCACTGCGAAGCACTGTAGAAAGACATCCAGGCTAGCATGGATTTATATCAGAATGGGGCTCCACCCTGGCTAATTAGTCTGCTGCTGGGGAGCATGGTCTATCCAGCAGGGCAGAGAGCTCTGATAGTGCAATCCTATCTCCAGATGCTTCATGTGGGGATCCCATGGCTGCTCTCCAAAATGCTTCTCCAGCTCCAAGGTCTTCCTGAAGAATGAAGTGTATTTTGTGGCTTGAGGACAGCATTTATGAGAACAAGTCTCTTGCAGCTGTACTCAGAGCTGAGAACTCAGAATTCCTTCTTTTTTTTCCCTTTTAATTTATTTATTCAGTATTTGTTTATTTATAATTGAACAACAACAACAAAAACAAAGAGATTAAATAAAAGGATCCAATCCCTAAAAATATGCAACTGTAGTTCATGACAGTGTAATTCCAACAGGGAAGTCAGGAACTTGCTGTGACTCGGTGGCTGATTGTAAACTAAAACATAGGGAGGGAGTGCCTGACTCAGCAGATGCCGGAGCCTTCAAAGGGATTAGAGCTATTGCCAAGGAGCTCCACCCTTTTTTCCCCTCTTTAAATGTCTTAAGTTTCTTATTCTTGCATTACATTATATATAAAAAGCATTGGCACATCCAGAATAGAGAGCACTTACACGTCAGATTTTCCCAAAGGATTACAATTTGATTTGATCTGCATATGCGCACCATTTCATCACTGCAGAATCTCTTCCCTAGAATTAATATCCCCCACCCCCCAAGATTCATAAACACAGTAGATGCAAACATTTCAAAGAGGTATTCTTAAAAAAACCAAAAAACCACCAACCAAAATCTTCATTAAAAACAAATATTTGCAAGCAGAGCACACCTGCAAACCCCTTGGACCACAACTTCAAGTCCCCTGGCACACCTCCAGAGCTGGTGCATTGCTGTGCTTCCTTTGGGAAGCTGCTTTCAGGAGCCTTCTCCATTGCAAGATGAATTGCTTTCTAGAAGGTTAAGACAGTTTCCCATGCCAGGTACCAAACCAGTTCATAACTTCTGCCTCTGTGTAACCTTTTAAACTGAAAAGATAAAAAATGCAGGGAGTCGGTCTATGCTTAAAAAGTTTTGCTGGCATGGCAAGAGCATAATTACAACAGTAAAATCCCTACTGTGAGTTCAGTCCTACCATCAAAAGACCTTTTTGTTGTTATAATGTAATCTGTTCAGCAAAGTGGTTTAATTCCTACCAGCAAAACAACTTTTTTTTGCTGTTATAAGCTGTTTCTCTGCTCAGGGTGTTGGCTGTGGCAGGGCCAGTGCTATACCTCCATCAAGTGCCGATGTGCCCAGAGGATGAGCTACCATTTTGCACCTCCCAGGGCTGAGGCATTTGGTGCTCCAAAGGGATTAGAAGGTGTGTGATGAGTGTAGGGTCAAAAGGGAATTTCAATCCACCTTTCAGTCTGTCTCCTTTGCATAAGCCCTTTATATTTTTAAATCTGTGTCTTTACTCTGCAGATTTGTTGGCCAGGGCTGAGCTGGTTTGCCTGCATACAGCACCATTTCTGACACTGAAGGCATTTTTGGACTGATACTGAGAAAAACAATGACTTTTTTCACAGGACTGTGAACTAACCCCTCGGGTTTAATGTTCCCTGCTCTCAGCCTATCACTTTTGTAGAAAAATTTGTTTGAATCCAGATGTGGCTTTCCATATACTTAAACATACTGAGTGCCACTTACCAGGCTGTGGTGACTTGGTGACGGCTGATGCAAGGTGCTACCAGAGAAATTCAGATCCTCAGTGGGGTTTCCCACTTAACACTGTCTCTGCCTCTCAATCCTTCCCTGCTGTTTCTTTGTGGGAATGGTGCACAAGTCTGCACTTGGCAGATCAGGAATGGGATTTTAGATGCCCTTCCCATCACCCTGTCCTTCCCAGGGGTGGGAACTGGGACTGGGTGGATCAGGCCATGGATAACATTTCTCTGATCCCATCCCTTACCTCGTGAGGAAAGGCACAGCCACGCAGGATTTAAGGCTTTTTCATAAATATATGCGACATGTTTGTTTTTACCCACATTTCATCAGTTTTTATTTTAGTCTAATTTCAAGATTCTGTGGGATTGGTGCCAGAAATAATAAAATGTAGCAATAAGCATTATATTCAACCATTGACTATTTTGGGGTTTTTTAGTACTTAAGAAACAAATGCTTCAACGTGTTTTAACAAACCGCTGGGCCCTCCCGTGGCAGATCACTGGAGCCATTTTCAGGGTATTACGTGCCAAAAAAAAGCAGGGACAATCTGGAAGGAACAGGTGTATTGGCTTCTGATGCTGCTTGAAGGAGTAAACACCTAATTTGCTGCTCCCACAAAGGTGGTAAACATTTAGCTCACAAAAAGTTTCCTTCCCTCTGAGAAAGTCCCACTGGTGCCGACCTAAATAAATTCCAGAAGTCAATCTTTTTTTTTATAAAAGGTTTTCTTCCCTCTATGACACAGCATTTTGCATTGCAACTGCGTGCAAAGAGAAATGTTTTTTGCAAGAAGGCTGGACGTTTTAGTCTCTAGGGTGGTTTTGGCCGGAAGGAGCTGTGCTGAGGTACAGCAGTTTGGGCTGACCTTCTTCTTGCTGCTGGTGTGCTTTGGGCTTGCTGTTCTCATCAGGTGTTTTCCAGCAGACATACTTTAGTCCAAACTCTTCTCAGGGTGAGGGAAGATAAAAAAGAATAGAAAGTAAATTCTGCTGCTGATGAAAAAGGAGTATTTGAAGAGGTATCTTTTGAAGACTCTAGGAATTACGCTTTGGAAAACCCAACAGGCCTGGTGGAGATTTATGCAAAGCTAATGTGTAAATCTGCATGTGCTCACATCCAGTGAGGCACCTGAAATGAGCCCAGTGTCCACCCTGCCTACCTCATGTCCCCTCTTCATTAACTTCAGACTCAGAGTGGGAGCAGCTTCTTAGGAAGATTGAAAAAGCTCAGGATTTGGATCTGGGAATGTAGACACCACACCAGAACAAAATCAACAAAAAGACCACTATCAGTAAATTGCTCTTTTGATTTGCTTGTTGAAGGCATCAAACCTGACCATCTTCATCCTCGTAACTCTTTGTCTTAGATTTCTTAAACTCCAAAAAAACCTTAATTCATACTTTTAGAATACCATGGTATCAGAGTTAACTACCTTCATGTCTTCAAATATATTCTTTTTTGTTTGTTTTCAGATTATGAGGTTATTTCTTTGAGCTGAAAATAGGGCTAAAAGTCTACAGGGTTGTACCTTAGCAGTAGCTTTCAAAATCAGAGTTCTCATGAAACCTGACTTGCAGCGGTTGGTTTTTTTTTTTTTTTTTTAATCTGATTGATCTAGGTCCTGTTTGTTCTTCACAGTGTATTTATAATTCTTTAGAGTGTATCTGCAACAATTCTGAGGTTTGCATTCAATTTGAAAAGTGTACATCTGAAGCTGAAAAATAAGCTCTGTATTTCTGTGGTAAAATGAGGTTTGCCAGGCTCGTTCAGAAGCTGCAGCAGTTTTGTGGTTTGTTCAGTTAACATGGGCTGCAGGCAGCACGTGAGCCTTTTGGTGCCCTCACTGTGTGCACAGCTGCCTTTTTAGATGAGTGGATAGGTGCAAAGGTTTTGGGGTTTTTTTTGGTGGGTTTTTTTTTGTTTTGTTTTGTTTTTTTAAAATAACACCTGCAGAGCAGTGGAGAACCCTCTGGTTTCTAGTTTGGCCACACGATTGTAAAACAACTCTGCCAACACCATCCTTCAGGACATCTGTGAATGACTGTGTTTCCCACCTGCTGTTCAAGTCACTCAGTTTTAGAGCTCTGTATTCTTTTGTTCAGTCTCTAAAGGGTATTTATTATGTCCACTGGACAGTTCACAAGCTTGTTGTTTAGACAGTTGAATTATGGATGGTGATTTTTTTTTGTAGTCCAGGATCTCAAGGTGTTCTTGTACTTGTCTCATCTGTGTTGGAGAAGGTATGTAACAGATGGCTGTGTCATTGATGTGGCCAGTATGTGCACTTTTCCTTTTTTTCCAAGAGATACTATTTCTTTTAAATTACCTTTTTTTTTTTTTTTTTTTTTTTGGACCCAGCATTTTCCAATACTGCTTAGACTCTCTTAGCTTACCTCTCTTCCTGAAATCATGCATCTCCTTATACTGTCCAAATTTCTTGCATTTTTCGAGTAAAACACTTGTTTGCTAAGTAAGAGTTTGCAGAGGCAGGGTCTCCTTGTGGGAGTGTTGAACATGTACAGATGTCAGTAGGGTTTCTGAGGAGCTCTGCCACTGCTCTGCTACACAAGACAAACCGGTGCGGCATCAGACCTCTCTCCAGAATTCTGGTGTTCTCTGTGGGTGGGGTGGATTTACTTTTTAAAAATTTATGTATTTCATTCAAAGCAGGTATTCAGTTTCTCTTGCAGTGACACCAAATGAAAGCTTGTTTCTTTTCTCTTGCCTTAATCTATTTAGCACCTACTCCTGCTTTGGCCTGGAAGAAAGAGGATCTGCCCAAGGGTGAATGGCTGTCTGGCTGCTGTTGAGAACTGAAGTCCTTGTTCTGGGAAGATACTTTTGACATCCTTCTCATCCGTTCTTCACTGAAATTATGCTCCCTCTCATTTTATCCCATTGATGTTTCTTTTTCCTTTAAAAAATAGTTATTTATCTGTACCTTTATCTGCATAGTCCTTTATTGAGGAACAGTTACTCTCTATTACACAATATTCTTCTAATATTTCTGTCATTGTCCTTAAAATGTCTGAGGTTTTTTCATTTCAATATTAAATGGCACTGAGCTATTACTTAGCCCCAGAGAAAACTCACTAGAAACATTGCTGTCTCTCTGTTTCTGTATAAATTTTGAAACTATCAAAGAACTAATTTCCTTTTTCACTTAATCATGTGAACCTGGGTTTGATTTCCCTCTTTCTTCTGATGTGACTCAATGCTGAATATCTTAGAGCAATCCAGGATCTTTTTTTTTTCAATGGTGGAGGCTTTATCAACAAAACTTCTAATTTTTGAAAGTTATTGTTTGCTACTATATTCTTTCCATAAACCTGTTTGTTATTACCTCTACTATCAGCCTTAAACTCAGGCCTTTTATCTGCTGTTTTGTGGTGCTCCTGGGGTTTCTACCAGAGCAGGAGGATGGCCCATTTTTTCTTGCAGCAACTGGGGTAGCATCAGTTCTCTGCCAGGTAGCTGCAACTTAATGACTCCTGTACTGGAAACCAATATTGAAGGTCTGATGACCTTCTCCACCAGCTTTTAACATTTTGAGACTACAAGTTAGCTGGACCAGTTAATTTCCATATGTTTAACCTTTTGTACCTTGATCTCACTTCTTGAGTATTTCTGCCTCTGCTGCTAACCTTTCTACACTTCTTAACAGTTAACTGATATGTATTTGTTGCTCTCAGCTTTCTGCACTTTCAAATTATTACTCATATTTATAAGGTTTTTTTATCTCTTTTTTTTAAGCAGGTTGACATTTAATCACCCTATTTTGTTCATTGTATTATTTATTATGTATATATATGTAATAAAATCTATTTATTATGGTATTTTTCATCTCTTTTATTGAATATTTCCCAATTATAATTGAAATTTTTTAATTTAAATTTCCTCTTCCAGGTGATTTCTTGCATAACAATTCCCAGCTTTGTGAACCTGGAACTTCCAAAGATCCAAGCGTATAATTCTGTTTGCACATAGTTACATCTGTTAAATGGCCTAAGCAACACTCAATTTCTATTCTCTGATCAGTTTTTCTGTGGCAGACTGAGATTTAAGGCAGAATTCCTTTAATGTGGATACAATTTGTTCTGAGTATGAAAAGGGACATATAAAATGTCTCCAGGACACTGTGGAGTTGGGACCAAGAGGCACCCAGCACCTTTCACTCTGCAGTCTGTCGGTGCAGATTTGTGCAGCATCGTGGTTCCAGCCCAGTCAGCAGCCAAGGCTCGCGCTGCCGCTCGCTCACTGCCTCACCAGCGGGATCTGAGCTAAAAAAATCACAGTCAGAAGGGTAAAAGCTGGAAAACTCGTGGGTTGAGATAAAGACAGTTCAATAGGGAAAGCAAAAGCCATACACACAAATTAAAACAAGGAATTAATTCACTGCTCCCTGTGGGCAGGCAGGTGCTCAGCCATCCCCTGTAGAGCAGGGCACCATGTTCTGAAATTTGTGCTCACTGAAACCCTCCTAAATTGGAGGTTAACCAGTATTTTCAAGTTCTTACTATAAGGATTTAGTTATCAGGTTTCAACAAGATAAACTGGAGTGGGTTTGTGCTCCTATGAGGGTCTCAGTCCCTTTTGTCTGTGGCCAATGCTCATATGACTGGAGCAGAGTCTATCGATTTCTTCTCCAGGTGTCAAAGTGATGTACTCCATTTTGTTCCAAGCATCTTTATCTTGAACTGAAAATATTCTTTTAGTTCTCCTTCAATTTCCTCCTTTGTGTTAACATCCTGTTCTTTGGTCTAGTCAGCAAGGAACCTGAAAAGTCACTTCTACTGAGATAGGGTAGGGGTGGCCTGAACTCTACCAATCCTTATTTCTGTTCAAGGTAAGATTAAGTTCAACAAACCCAGTTACATTTCACTCACTATGTACTTCCTGATTTCTTCAACAAAAAATTGGGAATTGTCCTGTGGATGATAGCCAGCATGCTTACACACCTTCAATTTAATTTCAGAGTTGATTAATTTTGTGTAAATTTAAAACAACAAGTTTGTGCAGGAAAGGAAAGTGTTTATATAATTTAAATTTGTATGAAGCACACAAGGAGACTGAATTAAGATGACACAGGTAACATCTGTCCCAGTACATGATGTTTTTTGAATGCTGAATATATAATGTGCTTACATTGATTTGTGTATATATAACATATATATTAAGGGGTTTCAAACCTTTCAATTCTATATGTCCTTATAAATTTTCATGCTGAAGTCTGCACCTTTTTAGCTTAAACTTTTCCCAGACCCTCTCATAGACCCCTTGGATAAAAAAAAACCCCAACAAAACAGCAGACATCCTAACAGTATGTGTTACTACCAGACAGAAAAAAAATGACATAAAATAAAGACTCATTCAGTTATGGTATTCAGTTACTTTTTGAAAAAAAACAGATATAATATTGTTTTCCTAAAAAAATCTAGATATTTCTAATCTTGTTCAGTTTCTTGTTTTGCAACTGAACTCACAAGTTAAGCATACTTTATCTTTGCCAGTGGAGCATCCTTTGCCAGCTGAGTTGCAGCTGGAGATATGGTCTCTGCTACAGCTGAACTTTGTTGATAAGTTCCTAGGTTTTGAAATGGAGTGGGAATAAGAGGGAAAGAAGTGAGTAGACCCCCAGGGCACTCTTCCTTCTGCTCGAGATGGAGCTATCCCGTGGCCATGAAACCGAAGCCTTGGCAGGGCCTCTCTATGCAGTTCAATCACAATAATTCAGCCTGGAGCTGAAGATTGTATTAGTCACAGTGCATCCTTGTTGGCAGAAAGGGCAGGGGGGAAAGCAAGAATATTCCATCACTAAAACCAGCTAATAGTAGGCTGAGCTTAGCTGCAAGCAGAGAGAAGGTGGGAGAGGTGACACGGGAGAGTTGAAGCGGTCTGAAACAGGCATGTGGCTGCTGCTGGTGGAGCCAAAGCTTGGATTTCTGCCACCTGCATGAGGGAGGCAGCAACAAAGTGATTAATTTCTCCTTGGCAGGTGATTAATTCTCTGTGGCTTCCAAATGAGGCTGCCAAAGTTGGACAGAAACCTGCTAAAGATGCTCAAATACTCCAAATGTAGAAACTGGATGAGAAGACAGAAGTTTGCTTCTAAAAAAATGAAGCCTTTACAAAGCACTTGTGGGATAGGCAGAGCTGATGGATGGCTGTGAGCAGGGGAGCATGGTAATAATGTGCACTTTAAAGGAGAGCCAGGAACTCTTGAATTTTAATCTGAAGGCTGATGCCAACTCTTCCCCAGATCCTGGGCAAGGTGAAGTTCAGTCCTGTTGAAACCACAGGGAGTTCTTGCATTCATTTCAGCCAGGCAAGGATGTCACTTTCCTTGAAGAAGTAACATTGACTGCAGGGACGAAAGGTGTCTAGGAATAAATTAACTATCTTTTACAGTGATGCATACATTATTATCACTGCCAAACCATCCCTTGCACATAAAGTTAAAATTGAATTTTATTGAAGATAAATAGAATAATAACAATCCAAACCACTGGCTGATATGTGTTGAAAGGCTCTGCATGGCCAAATGTTTCTGTACTTATGGCCCATTACATTTCAGTTCACCTTCCATAGTTGCTGAGCTGTTAACTTGCCAGAAAACTCCTCAGTACATCATAATCAAAAAAGTAAATATTTGATACCTTTGGCTCTGCACTCAGTGTGAGCAGATATCCCGTTCTAATACTTGCACCAGTGTTAGAAGTTTGAGGCTTACATGTTGACCTGGGAGCAGAGCTGCAGAGGAGAGCGATGGAGAGAGCTGGGGTGAGGGAATGGTTACCTCTCTGCTGGATGTTGGCTGGGTTTCTGGGTTTTTTAATGCACACAGGGCAAGGCTCCATTTCTGGCAGTGAGGGAACTGCTGATCACATCTCTGGCTAAGGGCGCCCAGAAGTGCCTTGTCACTGCCACGGGGTCATGGGCTTTTCTTGTGACTTGTGCTCATTCGTGTTGCTGGGAAATAAAACCATTCCCCATGAATTCAGGAAGCAATGCTAGTTTCAACTAAGCCCACATGAAATAATAGTTTCCTTGTTTTGAAAGGTATTGGGATAGGTGTCTTTTTTTTCCACACAGGCAGCTTGTTTTAGAAGAGACAGAGATAGATTAATGAGTAAGATATCTCATGACATGTGAGAGTTAAAAGGTTTCTGTATGTAAAAAACCCTGAAACATTTTTTTTTTTTTTTGGGAGGTAGGATTTGTCTTACATAGGTTTATAGCCTTTTATTTTCACTTTAGCTTTTTGTATTTCATATACCCCAGAGTGATAACCACAGGATTGGACTTGACTCATGACACAAATGTCGTGAAACAGCAAACCTTTAACAAAGCCCCTGTTATCACTGGACATCTGGCTGTGTTTGGGGAGGGTCAGGCTGCTAAGAGATGTGTGCTACAGAGCAACAGGGCACTGTGTTACACATACAGTTGGACACTGATGGCACCAAGGCAAGGGTTTGGGTTGGCTAAATCTCACAGACATTAAATATAATTAGAGAAAATCACAAAGCTGATTATCATGGAAAGGTGCAACTGTGAAATGTTTCTGTATCCTGAAAATAAGCTTTTTTGAAATAATCATTAATTTAATTTTCACACTACTTATCCTAGGATTTATGTTAGACACAATCACAACTAATCAAGAAAGAGAAGATTAATAACAAGGTGATGACCTTTCCACATAATACGCAGTTGTTTAGGATAGTGGAAAACAGAACATAAATAAAGCATCCTTAGTTTTAAGTGTATAGTGAGGAGGTCTCTTTCAGTTATTGCAACTTACAAAAAAAAACCCTTAGAAATATTGCAGATAATTTTCAGATACATCTCATATTAGTATTCAGAAGAATTATAAATGTAAGTAATACTAATACTATAGTAGTATATATAATAGTAATCATCATATATATAGTAATACTATTATATATAATGAGAAAAACAATATAGGAATATAATAATATCGCTATTTAAATTCATGAAGCCATCCCAACTAGAAGTAGTTCTGGTTCATCAAACTCAAGAAAAGATAGAAAAATTGAGAAAAAAAAATCCAAAACAAACAGAAAACCCAACTTGAAACAAAAACTGTAAGACATTCACAGTAGTTTGGTACTCTTTGGCTTGGAAAAGACAAAGTACCGTGAATGGAATAATGCATTGTTTTATAAAACCTTAGAGATATTAGAGAGAAATTTATGCAGATTGCATGCTGTTCTCTTAGTTTAACAGATTCAGAGGCACCCACAGAAATTATTAAATGGAATGCAGTATAAACACAAGGAAAATCTGTTCCACACTGTATGTAATTATGTAGAATTGATTGTTACTGAATGACATGGAGGTGAAGAATATAAATGGTCTCAAAGGTATTAAATGTAAAAGGAAAGGTCAGCCTCTCTGTAGCAAATAAACACTTTGCATCCCTCATGTGTTGAAGTCTAAGTCACAGATGGCTGGACCAGGGGAAGATGGAGAGTCCCTGTGCTCCGTGTATCCTCTGAAAGCATCAGCAGCCCCTGCAGGGGACAGGGGCCGGCCGGAACAGTGCACTGGACCTTCCAGCTTGCCCATTCTAGGACCTGCCACTTCCATATTTCTGTGTCTAAGTTTCCATTTCGGAAATTCAGTTTGCTTACTGATTTGATAAAATAAGATCAGGATGAATTAGAATTTCCTGTGGGACAAACCATCCTAATTTTGTATAATTCTTACATCTGATATGAATCAGCCTAACTTGCATGGATGAGGGAGCCAGGCTGTGTTGAAAAGAAATCTGTGCTTTCTTAGGGAAGAAGTTTGTCTTTAGAAGTAAATATTT